AAAAAAAAAAAAAAAAAACAACAACGCACACCTTTTGCCCACGAAATATTTTGCACTTTGTCTCATGATGTGATCTGATCACAGGTCTTAGTGGTGCCACTACATTCTCAAAAGGTTCAGTATTAAAAAGTGCCTTCAAATCCATGCGCAACTGTCATTTTATTCCTCCCCTGCTGCTCAAATGCACGGATTGCTGCTGATGCTATCACCAACGCCCTCGCAAGCGTCAAAGCAATATCACTGTGTGGGAATTTTCGGGAAAGGTCCCTGGAAAGGCTATCTGTATACCATCCGCTGCATAGGCGCCCCCTTAGTTGGGAATAGTCAATCAAGTAGTCCCAAATACACTCCATAATTTCTAAGCGTATGAGCCCCAGCATGGCTATACCTAACCACTTCAGCCCCATAATTCACAGATGCCCCTTCTCCACCAATCCAATCCCAAAGCCCTAAATTTCGAACTCCCAGGCTACAACCCTAAAATCTAAACCCGGGACCTGTAATCGTAATCCCTCAAGCTTGAGCCCATCTGTTACTATTTCAGGCAAACTCCCATGCCCATTCCTGCCGGTCAAGCTTCCTGAACGGCAGCTGCTCAGTGTCAATCCTTGGGTCTACATTTGAATCAAGGTTTAGGGGGACCAGGGTGTAGGGTTCAGGGTTTTGGGGTGCAACTTTAGAAGGTTTATCATCTTCAGGATTTAGGGTTTGAGATATACCTTTAAGGCAGTGAACCCTCACTCCTAAAACCCAAAACCCCAAGCCTTCAACCTAACGCCACAAAAACTAAAACCGTAGAACTCCAAAACCTAAAACCTTAACCCTAAACCCCTAAACCCCTTAACCCTAAACCCTAAACCCTAAGCCACTTCCTTAAACACTGGAACTTTTGGGGCTTAGGGCTCTGGAGTGCAGAGCTGAATTGGCTGAGGATTTCTTTTACTACAGGCATCCTGATGTACAGTCTCGAACGGACTTGGTGTTAAGGGTTTAGGGTGTCATTGTTGTTTAATGGTTTTTTTTGTGTTTAGGGTTCAGAGTAATGTCCATTTGCTGAATTGGAATTATTACATTGCGTGAAATTCGACCATTTTCGGACTATGTCACACATGCTGATACAGACCCCAATCCACTATAATCCTTATTTTGGGAACCATCAAAAACCCTAAATCCTAAACCCTAAAGCCCTAATTTTGGGACATCCCCACGTGTTTGCAACATGGCCACTTTCTGCAGGCGAGTGTCTCGATGTACGTGCACAGCTCAACAACAAAGTCCTGCCCACGGTTTTCTTTCGCTCAAAGGGCATAATAAGATCCACATATATCCATCTTATGGAATTATGGGGGACTGCAAGTCATCCTGGACCATCTTAGTACTATCACACCCGTACCGAACACATCTTCATGTTGTTACGGGGCTTAGCCATAGGAAGTTTCTGCCAGCATGTGAGCCAGGATTCCTTCCATAAGCTCTCATAAGATGCACGACAGGCGCCCCACATCACCTCCTATTACGCGGTTTAGGGTTTAGGGTTTAGGGTTTAGGGTTCTGGGTGATTAAAAGCCCCAGTTACCTCCCCTACAGTCGTAAACAGGAACGACCTGCGGGGTCCAAAATTCTCAAAATAACTGGAACGAGGATTATGCTACTGTCTATTCAGGCCTCTAGAACCTCGAACCCCCATCCCTCCAGTATAATACTGGCCTTTAGAGGGCAAAATTGCTATTTGCGGGAGGGTGTGTCTGGGGTCCTCCTCATCTACCTGATGTAGGAGCGTAGAAGCTACCAACCTGGTTTGGGTTTAGGGTTCAGATTCTTGTCCCTATAAGTACCAGATGAGACACCCACTGCACTTTATGCTAATTCAACAGGCCCTTACATAGATACCCTTCACAACCCCCATACAAATCGAGTTTGCATTTCATTGTCCATGTTCGTTTCCAGTTGAGCCTCCATTATTGGACTCTAGGTAAGGCCCTGCTCCCTGCAGATCCTGAAATAACTCCAGTTTGATGTGTCATTTTACATTTTCCTTTCCATATGATTCTCCCACATTAGGCCCCCTAGACCTCTACCCTTAATCTCCTGCGTAAACTGTAAGCCCTCAACCCTAAACCCATCAAATCACCTAACTGTTGTAACTATTTGAAGGCCTACAAATTTGTGGAAACCCCATTTGACACCTACATTGCTGCTCCCCTCACACCCTAAATCCTAAGCCCTGCGTCCTGAGCCCTAAATCCTGAGCCCTCAACCCTAGACCGTAGTCCCAATAAGGCCGTGCTCCTGGCAGTTCTTGCCGCCAAAGAGATTGTTGCCTGCAGCGTCGTAGCTATGCTTGGCGCCAAAGTCCTTGGACCTTACAACTTCCATCGAGCAATCTGTTTAGGGATTCTGGTTTAGGGCTGAAGGTTTGGGGCATTTTGGGGCGCCGGTTTGGGGCGCTACTTTTGAGATTTAGGCCTTGGGATTGCGGGTGCTAAGCTCATTGGACTAGAGTTGTACTGGCGCACTAGTACTGAGAATTGTCTGCTGATTTCAGACAAGTTCATGTGGGTTCAGGGTGTAGGGTATTCAAGAGCTCGCGAGAAAGAAATGCCTTATGCCGTGTTGGTCTTAAGTATCCACAGGAATGGCGTTGTCTTGAAACAGTCTTTGTAATCCCACGGAGCCCGATGCATACTGTAGCCAGAGCCCCCAGGGCACCCTGATTTTGATAAGACAACCTTATACAGCCTAAACCTAAAACCCTACACCTTGGATCTTAAACCACAAAACCAGTGCCCTGAATCCTCAACCTTACGGCCACACGGTGGAGAGAGGAAATCCTGCACCTCCTACGATCTCCAAAGTACTGGAAACATTTTAGGATTGAGGGGTAGAAGATAGATGAGGTCGTGCAAGACTTCTCCGGTCCACAGTATGCAAGACTCAATCATCAAGCGGGGCACCAGGCAAAGATTTCGCGATGAGTCTTCTTGGTCTGACCTCAGTGGATTTATCAAGGTTTGAGGCTTAGGGTTCAGGGCTTTGGGCTTGGAACCTCAAGTTTGGAACCCAAGGTTTCAGTCGACCTGTTAGGTGACCCTAATACCTGTGTGTGGATTCTGATGAGTACCTATGGGCTGCATACTGATGGGCTGGTTGGTTCGAAATGTTGGTTCTGACTGTTCATCCGTTGAGTTTGGAGTTCATTCGGCGCAGCCGCCACTATGACCCACCAAAATTCCTATTCGGGGGGTCTCAATCGGGCCCCTTTGCGCCCTAGGAATGTGTGGGAGCTGCAAATGTCTATTGGTGGTGATTTTAAGGAAGTCCCATCTAACCCATATAGCTCCCATGAAGATGGTAATAAAACCCTTTGGCAGCTTCGAATTTACCTTTCGCGCGCGCTAGTTCTGTCCCCACTGTGCCTTCCAGTGCTTCTATTTGGTTCTCCACTCCAATATTCAAGGCATTTAGGCGCCTAAGCCCAAACCTTATTCGGTATCCAGCTGCCCTCCTCGAGGACCCTGCCTTCAAGCTTTTGCGGCTTGATGGGAAAACCTTTGTCGAGCGCGGTGCGCTTGCCCGTGCACACACCATCGGCCTCGAACTCATAGCCTCAAGCATGATTTTTTAAGGTTACCCTTGCCAACGAACAAAAAAAAAAGAAAAAAAAGAGGTAGCACTCCAGGGCCCTAAATCCCGCTCTTTATGGGACCATTCTTGGGGATGTAGGTGGGTTCGCAAGCATCCCGTGGTAACACACTTGAATGCCCGAGACTGCAGTTGAGGGCACGCACTGGACGACGTCTAAGAGAGAGTTTCTCAACATGATGTTTGGGCATTCCTTGACACCAGGGGAGTTGCATTCTCTTGCATGATATTTATATGTATCTTTTGGGGGTCTACGCGGGAACTTGCATCTTCAGAAGCTCTCATATCATACCCGTGTTGCTGGTGCCCCGAACTACTCATAGGTATGACTCGTGGCGAGCGGCAACGGGAGATCTTCTGGCCCACAATTCGCAATGCCCAGTGCATGATAAGATCATTCTGGGGCACGATGTCCTGAGTCATGCGCTTCATTGCTTGGCATCCGAACGGACTCAACTGCTACCGCGAGGGGAACTTGCACATAATTTTCGAAAACCAGGACGTGCTGCAATCCGAAATGACCTTAACCTTGTAGCCCTCGCATGACGTAACCGCATGACCTTGGCGCCCGAAGATTCGAGCCGCAGAGCAGCTTAGAACAAGAGGTTTTACCTAAACCCCCAAAGTAGGTAAAATCATGGCCCAAAACCCCTTTAATATAGCCCAAAAGGCCATTATTCTACATACTTTGGGGGTCCAACCAATCTCATGATTTGGAGCATCCTGAGGCCAAGCGGGAGTCTGTTTTGGGTTTTGGAGAGGGACCGGCCTGTGGCCTGTGCCCCCAGGCCCGAATTATATTCCCTTATTCCCTACTGACCCTAGGGTTTAGGGTTTAGGGTCCCCTGTAAGCCGCATAGAGTAGTCCAACCAAAACCCTGAATTTGCGCTCGCCAAAGCTACACCTCCGTGTTTTTTGGAACATATTGCCACTCTCCACACCTATCCCTCGAGGACATGGTCTCCTCGCACAGACCGCAAGATAACATAATTCTTCCAGGTTTCCAAATATACGTCTTTGGCCTCGGAGTCTGGCAGCCGCTTCAGCTTGTGTCGATTCCTTGGGCATTCCGCAAATTCTGTCTCCGAACCCATACAACTCATGAACTACTCGTGGACTTCCTGTGCCTACAGTTCGGGGGTCTTAGATGGAATTCAGGGGTTACAGCTCCTAAAGTGTTGACAACTGATACTGCAACCATGACATGGCTACGATTGTGCCTGCCACGTTGCTTGCTTGACCTCCTCCTCCTCCTCCGCCTCCTCCTACTCCTACTACTACTACCACTGCGCCTACCACCACCACTACCATTACTACTAGCAGTATCATTACTGTTACAAGCACCAAGAGCCAACCTTCCTCCTCCTCCTCCTCCTCTCCATGATGATGACGGGGGTGCTGGTAACACAAGTTTTTCGTCTACTGTAATCAAGCATTTGTGCGGCACAGGCTGTCACTGATCTGGCTAATTTTTGAGCAACCTACACACGAGGGCGAAGCGGGCAGCTGAATTCATCTACATGCGCTTCCTGTTTTCCCTGCTCCTGCAATCCGGGCCGAAGTTTCGCCAGGGATTCTGCGTTTGCACGTTGCAAAATCTGCAGGCTAAGCGCCCAGACTTGTCAAAAGCCACGCTCCCTGAAACTTGAACTTTATAGAGATTATATAGGGATAGTGGAAAAGAAAATGGAAACTACTATTTAGGGTTTAGGGCTTGAGGGTTTTAAGCTGCTAGATAGGTCTGCGGCACGGAGTCCCAAAGCGGGGGGAGTTTACCCAAATTTTGGACACCCAATCCTATCCAGTATCACAATACACCATACCCCAGTTTCCATTTGATTTTCCATGCTATTCAACTGCTTCTGCATTATTCTGATTTCAAGACCCCCTCGGACGACCACTACCCAATTTCACCTATTTTCTTCTTATGAAGTCTGCCCCAAGCCTATCAAGCCCAAAGTTTCAAATCCCAGGTCACGGCTATACCGCAAACCCCTAATAAACCCCAAGCCCAGTCTCTCAATCCTTAACCCCAACCACGAAACCCTAGTCCCAAAGACCTTGCCCTGAACATTTAGCTGTAATGACCCCTGATCATGCGTTCCCCTACGACACCTTACGGGTTTAGGGTTTAGGGGTTACCCCTTAGGTTCACTCTAATTAGCTCTAATTACGGGTGGTCGGGGAGCCCATGACCTAACTCAGGCCCAAAAGCTTTTTGAAGACCCACTGCCTCGCGTCGTGCGCAGAGAACTCGAGGAAGGCGTCATCCTGATCATCGACCTGCACAGAGTTTCTGAGGCACAGCTACCTTAGCGATCCTAGGCATTTTACGCAGATACCTTCTCCAATCTGGGACTATGCGGCCTCCCGACGCCCCAACTTTTGTAAGGAGTAGATCATACGTTTAGGAATCTTTGTCCTGGAGCGCACCAAGGACCCTTAGGGGGAATGATTTAAGAGGGCAATGTGAGCTATAGTCTAAACTCCTAGCATCCTCCTTAATATCCCCTATAGTATAAAACTCTATAGAACCCCCTTTAAGGAGTTTAGACTATGGCTCATGTAGAGTTGGGAAAAGCGAGGTTCCAGGATGTACGGTGAAGACTCCATTCAGCTACAGTGTGGGGGGGGGGGTTTAGGGTTTAGGGTTTAGGGTTACTCTCCTAAGCCATAACCCCCAGACCCTAAAACCCGTAAACCCCTAAACCCCTGAAGCCTAAAACCCGCCAAGACCCTACAATGAATGCGTTAAGACACCAAGCTGTAGGACATTTGGTAGTTTCCCAAAATTATGGTCCGCCTTATATACCCCAAAATACTTATGGGGACCCCCAAAATGCTATTTGGGAAACACCCATTACTTGCAGCTACAGGCAAGGTAAGGCTCTCTGACAAGGTCTATAGTCAACCGATCTCACCCCCAAACCACCTGCCAGAACTATCCATTTTCTTTTCCATTAACCCCAATATTACCCCCATACACTATAGCAGTTTCCATTTTGCTTTCCATTATCCCTGTATAACCCAAATATTTACCAATACACTATAGTAGTTCTCATTTTCTTTCCATTATCCTCATATAACCCCAATATAATCCCTGAACCTTGAAGCCGAAACTCTATAGTCCCCCTTAAGTAGTTAGAATGGGGTATATTGGGATCTCGTTATTATAATAAACCCAAAGCCACTTTTTATCTGCTTAAGGGGGACTATACACCCAGAGCGCCTACATCTCTAGACCCTGAACCCCTAAAACTCTAAACCCAAAGCCCCTGAAACTCTGAACCAAAAATCCTAAACTCTAGACCATGAACCCTAAACCCCGGTCCACGACGAATGCCTTAAGTGTTCTGGGGGATCCTAAGGATTAGGGGGGAGGTCCTTGGGAGGGCTCGGAACTCGCATGAAAAATATACATATTTGATAACCTACAACCCCCATAACGGGGACCGTGTAGGAATCAAATACGAGTCAGGGTCCCCGTTTTTCAGGTTGGGGTAACCAACGCCCTCCTTGTTGACTATGCAACCCCTTCACTTGCAACTGAGGCTGTCGACCTTGAGGAGGATGCCATTCCTTGGCAGATTGGGCTGTTATCAGGCCTGAGAATTCCATGTCCGTGTGCCTTTCTGTATTACAAAGGCGCATAAAAACTACCACACCGTCCGTGCGAATTCCTTTTTCTGTTCCATCGTTACAGAATGTTCGTGGAGCTTCCTTTCGTACTTGCATTTGCAAGCTATTCTTGGGTTGTTCATGAAGGCTGCCAACTACGGTCCACCTGCTTCATGTTGCTTCTGGCTAAGGGACGTCTTCAAAAAGATGCAGTGTTTTGTCACACATCCTCTTGCAAAGAACCCTTCATCCGCTAGTAAAACTTTCCACTCATTGCAGGCGTCCTGTGCTCACATCTTTCGCGATGCTGGCTTTTCTTCTATCGGCTGGGCCCCGCCACTCTCAAATTGCTGATAAACCTTCCCTACATGATATCAAAGTAAAACACCACCAACATTGATTTTGTCACTACACGGGTATGGACTACCCAGCCAGGGATCTTCTAAGCTGAGAGCTGCCACAGTGCTGGCTCCGTGTACAACGGCTGATGTTGGTGTTGCCAAAGGGCTCCATGTGGTTCACCGCAGAGATTCTCTGCGGGTGTTGTTCGGACAGGCCGAGTTCCCCCGAGTTCCCTTTTCATGTTACACGTTCTATCCATGTGACTCTCCATGTTGCACATTATTTTCCATCCGGCTCCCCAATACAGCCCCTGAAGCTCATAATCCTCACGTTGACCCTGGAAATCCCTTATATTACCCTTTAGAGTTCCTTTTTTTACTCAGATGATTTATACTCGAATGATTCCCGGAACTTGTTTTCGAAGCCATGCCACATCCCAGCTGCCAGTTCGACTTGAACCTCCTTCGGTCACTAGGAGGAGAGCTCAGGTGATAGAGGGTGTCGGGTCTAGGGTTTATGTATACGGGCGAGGGCTTTGGGTTAAGCTACTTGTAAAGGGATTATACTGGGGCTATGTTAAACTAAGGATATACTATATACAGTAGGATGTTGAGGGTAAGCAATGGAGAACCATGTCAAAACTCCAGCGGAACATTACATGCAAACTGGAGGATTAGAGGGATGATCTTGTTTAGTGCAGTTTAGGGCACAGAGCGCCAGGGTTGATACACAAAATCCTGCAGGATCCGAAGTATCTTGTACCGCGGGAATTATGCTATTCCAGTACACTAGGGTCATGCAGGGCTCTTAACAGCTGTAACCAAAAATTTGAGCCAGGGAAGGCGCTAACTTCAGCTATTTGGGATCAGAGCTTTAACTCGTAATGAACAAACAATTACATGTACATCAGCAGGCCGAAAGTGTTCAGCTCAGCTACGGGGCCTTTATATACTAGCATACCAAGATCTCGCGCAGTAGCGGAGGAGTCCCACATGCTATCTTCGCTGGCCCTGCTAGCGGAGTAATCAACAGGAGTCTACGGGGGGAAAGGGGGTTGCGTCTGTTGAATAATCCTGCAACCTTGAAGCCCTAAACCTTGGCTGGAGCTTGTAATGCACAACAGCCACCTCAAACACTGAGCAGGACAAGTTTTTCGTGCAAGTTGAGAGTGGATAGAACTTTTTGCCCGGCGCAGTACATGGGTATGGGATGTGTTTACGAGTCCTCGATGCTGCGCCTGTGGGCCGTACTTTGTTTCATCATGTTGCTAGGAAGTTGTATGTTGCAAGGCAAGACCAAACGTGCAACGGCATGTAATCCGTGAAGCCTAAACCTTTCCCATTCCGTCGATTTCAGGCGCCCAGCAAGTGATCCCAAACTTGCATTGGGCCAAGACTCTGAATCGGACATGCAGGACTCGGTCACGCTGACCTTTCCGGAAACACACTCCTAACAGGATATTCCCTGCACATACCCTGAAAATGCAAGATCCTGAGAAAACAGAGCACCACAAAAACGACAACTTTTCAGACATCCCTGCCAAGACCTTTGACAAGGTCCACCCCATGAAGGCATCACATTTTGTTAAGCGATGCATGTTCAAGCTATATAGACCATCTTGTTTTGGCCACGGTGCAGGGAAGCCTAAGCTAGCGAATTCCCTTTATGGGGGTTGCCAAGGATTAGGGGTCTGTTTTGGGAGCCTCTGGACTGGGTTATTCTGGGGGTACATAACGGACCCCGTATGCCTGTGAGGAGTTCCACAGTTTGGGCGCACGTCTCAAGTGCAGTGAAAGCTGTACAGCTAGGTTGGCTCCAAGAACCTCATGCCAAAAGACCCTGCTGCCAGTCCAGGAAAGCGGTCATCAGGATGTGGTGCCGTGCCGCACGGGGCTTAGAAACCTAACGTTCAACTTCTTCAGTTGTCCGAGATATGTATTTCGCGCCTGTCCTCAGCCTCCTGCAAGAAACGGCTGCCACTAGCCTCCTAGCTATCCTATCCATGAATCATACATTTTTGTTGATGCTCAGCTTGCTGCCACGTCCCCCACTTGCCATGCGGCCGCTTCTATCCAGCCTGCCAATGAACAGGGGCATAGCTTGGGTACCGCCCCCGCCCACTAACAAACCATGGTAGGGTTCATGTTAGGAGCGTTATATAAGTACCATAAAAACTTGCTTCAGCATCCCTAATATAACCCCAATATATACCCTATTATAATATAGTAGTTTCCATTTTCTTTTCCATTATCCTTATATTACTATGTTATTGGGTTGGGGCAACACCCAAGGCATAGCTGACGTAGCACAGGAGCTCAGTACTCCGAGCAGGACTTGGCTTTCACATTCAGCAGCACAGACCTCCAACAAAAGCACAAGTCCTATGAGAGCTCTCAGCTACTCCAACCTGCAAAAGCCCGTCAACTCCAAAATCCCATGCCCCGCTGTTTGTCTCTACCTCCCAATGTCCTAAAACATGACCCTGGGTTCTGAAAGTGCTTACGGGGGATTCCATCCGGGTTTTTTCTGGCGAAGATAGCGGTTCATTGTTCAGAGTCCCCTGCATAAAGGGTGTAGTGTCTGAGCCTCTACAGCGGAAACCACACTTCTGGGAAACACCCATGCCTGAGAGCTAGGTAGGTGTGCTGCGAAACCAGAGCGCCTGAGGTTTCTCCCTACTTCCAATCTCCTCCCTGGTTATCCGTTGTCTTTTCCAAACTATTCTCTGCGGGGAGCAATAAAACTCCCAAACCCAAAATGCCGGGCATAGGTATCCCTAGGGAACATATAGCCCTTGCCTCTGAGAAATCCCCAAATATCCATACATATACATATACATCTACATATATATTTGTCTATTTATGCTTATCATATATATATATATACCTAGACATCCCTCCTACATCCCTATGACCCTGAGTTTCTCCCTGCTTTGCCTTGGAGTACTTCCAGCCAGAGCTTCAGCTCCCCCTCCTTTTCTGCCTTGGCTCTGAGGGTGTAAAGCTTTCCCCCTAACGATACACACGTACTTAAGTGGGAACCTAGGGGTTATATAGGGTTAAGGGCCAGGGTTTAGGGGTTCAGGGGTTTAGGATTTTAGGATTTCAGGGTTTGCGGAGTAGGGAATAGGGTGTGAAGAGAATTTTGTCCGAATGACATACATGTAATTAACCTACGGGGTGTAGTGGGAGGCTCAAAACCCATGATAAACGTGCCGCGTGTTTCTTCATGGGAGGTTATGAAGAAGCAGCAGTAAGCAGAGCCTAGGTTAGTTTGGAGAAAGCTTTATATGCCGTGATTTCTAGCCAAAGCAGGATTGAATGCTGTGTTCCAAGGCCCCCAGGACCGGTTGAACGTCCCTGTGCTGAATCTGCGGAAACCCCACCGACTAATGTTGATTGATCGTTACTGCATATTTTTAGGGAGCCTTGTAGGGGGCCGACCCCTTAAAAGGACAGATCCCCCCAAAAAGAATCTTTAGAAGCGCATTTTAAGGAAGCCCAGGATTGTCTGGGAGGGTCCATGGGAAATCCAGGTGAATCTAGCATTTAGGGTTTTGGGGTTTGGGGTTTGAGGTTTAGGGTTCAGGGCTCCGCATCGACTACAGCAACTGAGTATATAGCGTTTTTGAACCTAGTGAGATTATTATATTCCTCGTATACAAGACTTTGCCTCAAAAGGTCGAGATCATCTTACTCTGTATTGAGCACGTAGATACTCAACTCGAGTTCTTGAATGTTCAGCCCTGTGCATGTAGGTATAAGAAAATATCTACTTTGGGCCCTAACTATGAATAATACTTACATTGGGATTTTCGACCGCCTAGAGTAAAGAGTAGCTATAATTCACAGTTGACTGTTTTGGGTTCAGGATTTAGGATGATACTTCCTGTGCTGGCAGTCCCTTTGATCAGGGTACTTTCTGGTCTATGAAGCATGGGACTATGGCCACCTTCAATCCCCCTAGCTTTTTGCTACAAAGGGAAATCAAGAATGGACCCTGGTCTTGAGAGCTCCTTTGTGTTGGGGGTACCTATATTGGGATTATAAAGGGAAAATAGCAAAGAAAATGAACACCACTATAGTATAAAAGGGTTTAGGGGTTAGGGTTTAGAGTTTAGGGTGTCTTGACGTCTAGCCACACGTCACTTGTCGAAAGCAGTGGCCCCAGAAAGGGTATGCCGATATGCCCTGCAAGAGCATGCATACTGTTGGTGGTCTCTTTTTTGGGCCACTAGCAAAATGCAGCAACCAGTCAGGGTGAACCCAGAAAAGGACCAGTATTATAGTATGGACAAAGCCCGCATATGGGTATTCTTGTGATATTAACCCCAAGCAGAAAAGCCTTAAACAGCTGGAACGTATTCTGTGTAGGCAAACCGGAATTCCCACCGCGACAGCATGGTTTAAGGGTCCGTCCTGGTAGGTTTTAGTTAAGGGTTTAGGGTTTAGGGTTAAGGGTTTAGGGTTAAGGGTTTAGGGGAGGTAGGCACCCCATGCTTGTAGAAACATGGCGATGCTCTTGATGACAGGGATCATGATAGAAACCGCAGATTTGGTGTGTTTCAGTTTTGATATCCCAGTTTAACAACAAAGCCCTCATCCTAAGCCCTGAAACTCCCACCCCCCAAATTTAGCCCAGATTCTTGAACCTTGAATTCTACCCCCTCTAAGCCCACAAGCCCCCGAAGCCTTCGGCATTTCAAGCCTGGCAGCATCGAAGTAGCAGATATGATGATATCTCGCAGCCGCAGAGGACAAGTCCAAGGTGAAGCCGCAGGGTCGCTCCTTCCTTGCTCAAATTGGCGTCTGCTTATTATCACTACCATGATTATTTGTACTACTGCTTCTACTATTGCTATTACGATTGCTATTGCTGTTGCTATTGCTGTGACTGTCAGGGTGAAGCTTATTATGACTGGTAGCATTGTTATTGCCATTATGGTTCTTTATTCTCACTACTAATACTATTACGTAACCTGAGTTTGCCCATGACAGCTTAGGCGCGACTAAGTTAACCGGGATTGAAATGGAGTACTAGTTGTAATAATGCAGGCTTCAACATGCGTCCCAAGGCGGGATAGGGAGGTTCACCTCCTTACTGAAGAGAACCCTACTGGTCCAAATGCCTCAATGGATAAATTTGGACCAAAAGGCGCTCCTAGCTAGATATTCTGAATTTGTAGTGTGTGTTCTTTGGATGCAAGGTCTCCAAAGAAGGTTACATGCATTGCCCCAGAGAGTATGAGACTCCCCGCTACGAAGGGACTCGAAGCCTAAACCATAAGTCCTGGACCCGAAACTTCGAAACCCTAAACCCTAAATAGTAGTTTCCATTTTCTTTTCCATTATCCCAATATGACCGCTACATGTCCCCAATATATCCTAAACGCTAAACGCATCTCTGAAGGGGTCCGGGCTTCTGGAGCTTCAATGCCTCACCTGCCAGGCAGTAGGATGATGTATGATGCTCACAGCCATGAACTCCCTAAACCCTAAGCACTGATTCCTAAACCTTGGGTACTGCCCCCCCCCCCAGTAACAGTCTATATTAGGGGTCCTATTAAGGGCTATATATAACCATATTCTGTTACTGAGGGGGGCAGTACCCAACCTAAACCCTACAACATCTGCTAGCTCCACAGTCAGCCAGGTGTCTGCTCAATACAAAACCCTAAACCCTAGATGCCTCTGACTCTGAAACGTTGCTATCATCAATGCAGCGAGTCAACATAGAACATATCGTCCGCTACTGCTCGTAACCAGACCCCAATATTTCCCAATGACGAGCCTCAAAACAACCACCTCTAGACCCTGGACCCTTCAGCCGAAGCTAGGGACTTACTGTTTAGAGTTTACGGTTTGGGGCAGCTCGCATGTTCTGATGCATGGCACAAGGGCTGGGAGCTTTCCCAAAATGAGAAGGGCATGGTGCTGCTCACATGCATTCATGGGCTATTCTAGCGGGATCATAAATGATACTGTATATAGGCGGGATAACGGAAACAACATGGAAACTAGTATTTAGGGTTTAAGGTGTAGGGCTATCTAACTGCGTAAGTCTAGTATAGGCAACAGAATGCAGGCAGCATTTCCAACTCCAACTGCAGGTGTTTGACCTTGATTATGTCTAGGCCCTGTCGATCTCTTATACGTAAGCATTTCAATTGCTAGCAATAAAGGGCTGAGGACTTAGGAACAGAAAAGCGTATTCGCATGGCCATCCCCCATAAGTAGTGTCCCACGTGCGTACTCCTCAAATATATCTTCTCATTACTATAGATCCCAAATTGGGAATTGGAATCTTGAGAATCCCCCCCTTTTACCCTAACCCTAAACCCTACATGCGCCCCCCCCTCCCCCCACCCCCAAACAACGAGGAATTGTTCAGTCTCCCGGCCTGCGGCCTTGGGGCTTGTGAAGGCTGTAACCTTTGAGCCTCCAATGCGGTTTAGGGTTTAGGGCTGCGTTTCAGGGTTTGGGGCTTCGGATTGAAATGGTGGTTCTCTAAGCAGTGCATTCTTTTCTCCGGCGCTCTTTATGTACAGCGCCTGCAAATTTGGGGATACAAAGATGGATGAAAAACCACAGTATCAAGCCTTTGAAGCCACTGAATGGAAGGAATAACGGGTCATATTTCCGTGGTTGCTGTGAATAGAAGAACATGCTTATCCATTGTCATATTCTGATTCTCGTAGTCATCAACAATATCACAACAATAGTAACAATACCGACCGGTATGGACACCCTTGGGCAGCCATGAAAAAGAATACACAGCTTAGGCTACAACACACAGCCACCAATAGCTAAACACAGCCCCTGATAATATGAAAACACAGCAATAAACGTAGTGATCATGAAATACTCCAGGTCTACTGCTGTTGTGTAGTAGAGTAATGAAGAATATTAGAGGGTGGATGTGTTCATTGTGGTGGGGCGGAGACACAACAATCCTCAAGATAAGTTGATAACTTGTTAAGGGCGTGCGTGTTCCGCACTCCTGTTTGTAACTCAAACTGTTTTGCAGCAGACATGGAACCCACATTAAAAACTGTTGTACTCTTGGATAGGCATACGGCCTCTCTTGTGCTGGTCTCCATGCCAGGGCAAAGACCATTTCGCCGCATAGGAACCAAAGGTGCCAAAATGGTGAGCGCTGAGAGACGGTCACCCCAAATTGCGGAAACTCACATAACCACCCGTGTTGCAACAAAGAGCAGATATCGGGGGTCACATATTCCTTTTTTCAAAAAAAAATTCAAATCTCGATATGAAGGACTTCTATATAACGTCAAGCGCACATGAGGATGACAGGAAGCAACGACACCCCCAAGCAAGATCAGACTGCAACTCAAGACCGACCTTTTTAGGGGCCGCCTGTACAAGGTTGGTCGCTTTTTTGCACCCCCTCCTCCTCTTTTTGCTTCCTTTTAGGTCTCCAGGGTACCATGCTTGTTTTTGGGTGAGTGTAGCCTTCTGGGATAATGACAGGAAGCTGACGAGCTAACCAAGCGCGAAAAGCAGCATGAGCTATAGGCCAAACTCCTAGTATCTACCTTAATATCCCCTATCATACTCCCCTATATAATCCCCCATATAACACCCTCAAAGGAGTTTTAGACTATAGCTCATATCCTAGCACCCCCCCCCTTTATAACCCCTATCATACTCCCCTATATAATCCCCCATATAACCTCCTTTAAAGGAGTTTTAGACTATAGCTCATATCCTTTTAATGTAGCCTTGAGAAAAAGATGCCCTGCCCAGGCCTAGAGTTTAGACTTGTTCCATGCTCAATGGCCTGCCCAACTTTGGCCTCCTGCAACATGGCTCCCCATCGTACTGCTTACTGCTGGTAAACCCCAACCCGGAATGATATGTTCATATATATATATACATATATAGATCTGTATTTCTACGTGCACACTCCCCATAAATGCTACACATACTACCCACAGCCGGTGAGCTGGGGATAAGTTTTCCAAAGCCAGCAAGCCCTCGCCCCTGTTCGTCTAGAGTCTAGAAGCACCGAAACGTCTGAGTTGAATCTCGTTGCCTGCAACACTGAATAGCAAGCACAAAATAACAGCGAGAATGAACCGAACACAGTCATGCACCAAGAAGCGCAGAAGGACGATGACAGACATCATGAAGCACTAGTCGTAGAAATGAAGAACAGAATCATCCAGATAAATAGAGAGTAACGAAAACAAACGCGGACGTATCCATGAAGTAAAGAACAACAATACTAGAAATAATAACAAGATTACATTTTGTAAGAGTTCCCATGCTACAGTACCCTCTCTTCAAACCCGCCACCCTAAACCCTACACCCTGAACCCTAAGTTCCTTAAACCCTAAACCTCAAACCCAAAACTGTAAATCCTAAAGCTTGAGCCCTAAGCCCCTTAACCCTGAACCTTAAGCCCAAAACTGTATACCCTAAACCTTGAGCCCTAAACCCTAATCATCCGCACTTGCTGCTATCGTCATGCTACTAGGCCTGGGCCGACGGGCAACTCGCCCTCGGGCCGCTTAGACTCACCTTAGAGAGCTCAAATTGAACCGTTTAGGGTTTACGGTCAAGGGTTTAGGGTTTTAGGGGTGTTGAATTTTGGGGCTTAGGACTTAGGGTTTAGTAAGGGCTTTTAGCGTCAAGGGTTTAGGGTTTTAAGGTGTTGAATTTAGGGCTTAGGAATTAGCGTTTGGGGCTTTGGACTTAGGATTCCATGTTTAGGAATACCGACTCAGGCTCTAGGATTTAGCGCTTAGGATTTACAAGGCTTGGGCATTAGGATTTCAAGTCTCTCAGGGCTTCGGAAGTAGGCGCTAGGGGCTGTGGATTTAGGGGTTAGTGCTTAGCAGTTGGGATGTTGAGTTTCGTAATTAGGATTTGGGATTAAACAAAGACTTCAGGGTGTGTAGGACTGACGTGTTTTGGGATGATAGCGTTGCAAGAGTTTATGGCTTGCGGGGGTTGACAAATTGGAGATAAGCATTGTCCTTCTTTTGCAATCTGGACCAAGTTCTTGCAGTCAATCACCAGACATGTGCGAACCATAGGACCCAAAACCCTAAACCGCTTGGTCCCAGGATGTTCAGTGTGAAGCTGGCTTTATGTAACGGACGTTCAGTATTTTCTGGGAGATGTGAGAGTTTCCGGAAACTATGTAGGAGTCCCTTCTTGGGGGGTTCCCATTTTAAGGTTTAGAGTATTTTGGTGCATTTGGGGCCTTCATCGGCTCACTTATGGAAACTACTATATGCGGACCAGAATTCCGTTATTCCCCTCAGCCCTAAACCCTCTTCCCTGCTGGACCAGGAGATTCTTGTGTCAAGGGATCGAGTCAGGCATACCGTGATACACCCCGGAATTAGATAATATGCTGCATCCCTTAAAACACTTCTTATATCCAAGTGTAAGAATAAGGTTTAGGTTACCTAGCCCGTGGGTAACCCCGGGGCTCCAGCAAGTATAGCGAAGCTTGAAAACGGCGCTTAAAAGCTTGCTCGGATGGGATTGTGGAGAAGCTTGGGACATGGTGCGCATTGTGCTATGAGTAGGCTTTGGGGTCTTCTCAAATTTGGCTACGATCGGTTGAAATCGAATTGAAAACCACCAATGGAATCCGGGTTAAAGTCGAGGTAGTCTCTGTTGACATTTTAATCCAAATAACACCATCACAAATCTAGGTAGAATCAAGTCAGATCGGAATACACGTCAAGCAAGGTCTAGTTAAGCTCAAAAGTCTGACTGAAACCTGTAACACCCGTTGACATATCATTAACATTATGATAAAACCATATAAAACCCATGGAAATCTACACAAAATCTAGTAACAACCGACTCGAAACCAACTGAAATCTAACTAACGCCCAATTGACAACACTTCAATTCTAATTATCATCCAGCTCAAACCGGGTTAGCCTCGTAATCAAATCATGAAAACCGACTTCAATTCAAAAAACATCGAATTACAGTCAGTTGAAATTACGTTGTGCTTTTTACAAATTAAAAATAACAATCGAAAAAAAAATGAAAGCCTCAGGGAATAAAGGGGATCCATAATTCCCTTGGTACATCATTCCAAGCCCCTCAGTTAATTCTTATGAGGATCCTTTTCTTGTAAGCCGTCGGGCCCTTTTAACAGTAGTCTTCAGGGATATTTCCGGAATTGGGGATTGTGGGTATCTACTATTAGAGGGATTGACTATTTGGGGGAAGCAGCTAGGAATCCTAGACCTGAAGCCCGAATAGGACTATCATGATGAATAGCAGCACCCTCAACCCCAAACCTTAAACTTTCCTAGAACCAAATTGCTACAATCCGCTTAGCACGTGATGCCCTACTTTAAGCCTACTATGCTTATAACTTATATGACCAATTGAGCTGTGGGAGTAGGTTCCCTAGCCGAGTAGGTTTCGGATGTCGAGTCTTAACCCCTAGACCCTATTGACTGCGAGCGCCTTCTGCTGCAATCCTGGGCTAACCAAGGTTTCAGACCTTCTGCTTCCCAATCCGAGGCTTAGACGGGCAACCCTAAACCTGAAACCCAGGGTTCTCGTGAAGCTCAGCAAGTACTTGTGCGGGTATCTCCCCAAACTAGCCTCCCCTGACCCCTTCAGGAAACAATCAGGATCGCTCATGTAAAATCCCCCCTCCGCCCTAAGGCGCGAACCTCTTGGCCAGCATGCTATATGACCGTAACCATAAACTCTACACCCCAAAGCTCGTATCTTGTAAGTTTCAGGCGATTTGCGAAGTAGCGAAAACCGCTTTCATCCAGGACCTGCAGCTCAACCCACAGGCAAAGGATCTACTACTACTGTTTTTGCTGCAATACCATTAAAATTTCTAGTAGTATGGCTATTACTAGTAAGCCCAAGATTCTACGCGGGTTTACGTGTTTTTGGTGTCGCAGCTTTTCTGACGGCGTGTCTGCCTGGAAAAGATTCGAAGTCAAACATCCAAGATTAAGAACTTGGGCTTCAAGGTTACCAGTTGATGGTTCAGGGGTGAGCGGGTTTGGGGGTTCAAGGTACCAGATGACATGGACGTTTAGTGAAACCCCTAAACCCTGAACTTAAACCCTGAAGCCTGAACCCGAAACCCTAAACAACCCTAAACCATGCTCCAGGGTCCACGATTCAGTCTTTGGCCTGTCCTGGCGCCTTGCCATGTGCCCCAGAACCAAGTTTGGGGTTAAGGTGAGGCCAAGTAGGACAGACATCACTCACGTCCACGGTAGTCCTGCAGTGTAACAAGGTCAGAAGAATAGGGGGGGTCCTTAAGGGAGCTGTGATCTAAACTCCTTTAAGGGGGTTTATTTAAAGGGGTTAGATAGGGGACTACTATAGGGCTTATCAAAGGGCATACTAGGAGTTTAGGCTATAGCTCATCTAGCCGAGGGATGTGTGAGGATTGTACAGGGTAGGTGTCTCATGAAGAATTGTACAGGGACAATCTTGAGAAACTCGCCTACAGAACCCGACATTTTACAGATAGACTCAAGGTGTGCAGGGCTCAGCGATGACAACTGATATTGGGGCAGCGCCTGGTATTCAGGCACGGCTCACTGGCCAATGTCTCACGTGTGCCAGAGACTAAATTCTGCAATAAAAAGCAACCGTAGAACGAATTGACAGCCTCTAGTGTTGATGGAATCATGCAACCACCTTATATACTAAAAGAACGGCAACGAAAACTTGTTGTTGCAGTTAAGAAAGTCAAGGGCGTGCAGGAGATTTCCATCAAAAGCATGTCAACCCATCAAGGCAATCAGGGGTCTATCCATATGTATGGATGTGTGTCAAAAAAACGCGCAAGAAGATCCTGAACACTGGACCTTAGCTCTCGTATCACACTCCGACATCCCTTGGATGAAAGGTCAGATTTCACCCATATGTCGCATAACCCTAAACCCTAAACTTGTTGCAAGTCAGAAAAGAACGGCTTGGGATGCGACGCACCACTTGGAAGACCAAATGTTCTGCAGCGCTGGCCCTCTTTTGAGGAGATAGCCTTCCCTCCCGCATGCCATGGTCTACTGTAGAAACCTAAGCAATTAGCAACATTATGGTCGAAGCTAAGGTTGCCAAAAGTATGGTTCCTGAAATCGACTTCAAAATGATATTGGTACTTGTTCTGGGCCGCTGTATTATGCCACAGCCCCTCGAACACCTATTGCTACGACGGTTGCTACTGTCGCTGTTGCTGAAGGATTGCTGGGAATGCTCCCGCTAGCCGCGGGGCGGGATGATATGCAGGAACGTATCCGCTACTTATTCGCAAGCGAACTACTGAACTATTCCTATTCGTGCGATAGGTTGGATGTGCCTGGTCGCGTTTTTTTGTGTAGAGCCACATGTGCATAGCAACCTGGGAATCAATTCACACAAGCTAGACAACAACATCACTCTTACCTTTACTCACTTGTCATCATGACTATTGACTATTCTTCCTACTACGTAATTCGGTACTACAAGTAAATAACCCCTCCATGTCTACAAGCCCAAGCCAACCAACCATGTCAGTAAGGCTTGAGCCAACGCGCATCGGGATTGCAGCTCCGGTGGACTGCAGCTTGAAAAGCGGGGCCTTCTTAGTTGCCAGGGGTACTACAATTTATGAAAAGAAAACATGTCTGGGTTGAGCGCTGCCCTGTTTCCCTCAAAAAAATGTTGTCCAAAATAACGTGCATTTCGCTGATACCAAGAAATTCAACGTGGACCTACAGGAGCGCTAGCTCTTTTCCGCGTCTCAGTCTGTCTGGGTAACCTGTAGGGATTATGACAGAGATCCCTTCCACCATTCCCCGTTGAGCACTAGCAGATCTTCCAACATTCTGATGAATGCTAAAGCCTACACTGTAGATTTAGGGCAAGAGTTTTCGAGAATGTGCGAACGCGAACCTCCAAAATTCAGTAAAGGTGCCCTGTGTGCACTGGGTGGGAGGCTCCTAGCAAGCTCGCTTTGCTCAAGCTGTCAGGTAAGAATGAGTATGCAGATCTGCCAGGCTCCTTGTGCTATGAAAATACCTCGCCCAATCAACATTAAACCACCCCAATAACCCTATATAATCCCAATATATACCCTACTATAATACTATAACCGGTATTAGAATGTTATAGCCCCTATCAAAAACTGATATTACCCTAAACCCCATCAATCATGCTAGGCCTGGCGCTGCAGTGGACTCTGAAGATGAACCCCAACCTCCAAGCCCTGAAGCTTATAGGTCTATATAATATAGGGCGTACAATATAGGGTTGTAGAAGAAAGGGGTGTCCACTATAGGGTTGCTTAATATACAGGGTAAGTAATATAAGCGTACATAATTTATGAGGGTATATGACATAGGGCTGTGATATAGGGTTGTGTAATATAGGGGTAAATCACATAGGATTACATAATATAGGGGTATACTACAGGGGTGTATAACATAGGGAAGGCATAACCCAGTGCCTGAGTTCCTCGCCCTCGATCCGTTTTAGGAGATCAGCCGCAGTTTTTCTGAGGCCAAAGGGATCGATGTCGGACCTGGGCGAGATGGGAATGGTTCAGGGTTTCGGGTTTAAGGTTATCCTTGACTAACTGGTGGACGTAGGGCAGGATTGAACAGCAGAATGTAGACTATAACTTCAGGCATCTTATGGGACTAGTACATGGATCCATTCTTCCACTCCCTGCTAAACGCCGGTACGTGTAGAACTATCTGAAACATGTGGGTTTTTCTCCAACGAAACCGTGTCGATTACAGAATTTCAGGGGGATCATTGAGAAACTCCTATATCGGGGGACATGATCTGCAAGCGGTCTTGCGGGCATGCTCAACATCTTTACTTAAAACCTGAAGACAGAATAGTATCATGCTGAATCCTGATTGAGGTACTCTATACGATTACTATACAAAGACTCGGTGACCCAAGAAATTGGAGCTGCCTCGTGAGAGTTCCCATGATTAGGGCTATAGGATATTGGGGTCTGGAACTGGGGAAACTTGCACAATCCCCTCCGAAGATGCCGTATCATGGCTTATCCTCTCTTTGCCTCTTTTCCACCAACCCATTCAGGGCTCTTACGGCCGCTATCAACCCTATGGTTTAGGGGTTGGGTTTAGGGCTTAGGGTTTAGGGTGAATTTTGTAGGAAGGAGCACAAAGTTGCAGAACTTCCTCAGCCTATGGCATCCTCTGCGCGACGTCCATGGAAAACTATCTGACTTGATGGCGCCGTAACCAGAACATGGTGTTGGGGAAGTAGACGTGCTTCTGCAGGAATACTAGGACTCAAAGGCCCAGTACCCCAACACAAAGGTTTCAGGCACCAAAATTCTTGCCGTTTGTTGTACTTAGGGCCTGGCATCTACTTTCGGAGGCTTGTGGATCTGACCCCTGTATAGAACCCTAGATTAGAACTCCTCTAAAGAAACCCTAAACCGTAAACCCTATACCCTATACCCTGAACCCTAAACCCTAAGCCGCCGTGGCTGAGAAGGGTACGGTCTGCCCTCCGCAGCATCCTGCAGTCAAATTTGGGCTTCGCCTAGGGGTTGGGGGGGTATAGCGGGGGGTAAACCCTAAACCCTGAACCTTCTACCCTCTACCTCAACCCTATACCCTAACCCTATATACCCTAAATCCGAAGCGCTAAAACCTAAACCATTGCAAAGCAGAAAACCTCAGCACTTCATCCCGATCCCTGGAGCCTCGGGATGGATCCTCACAGCCTTTCAAGCTAACATGTCTAACTCAATCCCCAGAAGTATATAGAAAAATCACGTGTCGTTTTAAAGGGGTTTGGGCTTAGCTTTAGGGCTTAGGGCTTTTTAAGGGTTTTAGGATCAGGGGTTAGAGTGTTTAAGGGTTTTGAGCTTGGGGTTTAGGGTTGTTAAGGGTTTTGGGCTATTATCTTACCTACTTTTGGGGTCCAGGTAGAGATGTGCTTCTAAACACCAAAGGTCCCGGCAAGGGATACCCCAGCGCACGCGAATCTGCATGTAAGCACCCCCAACAAGGGCCCCGCCAACTTTTGGAAATTACCATGTAGGGATCCCATATTTCAGATGTTGGAGTTTATCGAAATCGCCGCTACATTGTCCCCCAGCAAGAATTTATCTGTGCAATCCTCATATACCCCAACGGTCCCTGACGGCACCATTTTTTTTGAGAAAGACCAGTCAACCCTAAAAACCACACATAAAAACCAACCACCATAAAACCATTCACAACCCTTCAAACGGCCTACACAAACCCACATACTCTGCCTGCTGCCAGCCCAACAAGCGGCTGTGCTGGCTGCGCACATCTGTCAGGGATCTGCTCAGCACCGAGCAGGCCTGAAAGCAGAAAGCAGAAAGCAGTGTTTAGGGTTTAGGGTTTAGGGTTCAGGGTTTAGGGTTTAGGGTTCAGGGTTTAGGGTTTAGGGTTTAGGGTTTGGGGTTCAGGGTTTAGGGTAGTCAGTAGTAAGTAGTGAGGAGTAAGTAGGATGAGTAGGAGGTAATATGAGTAACAGTAAGAGCAAGAAGCAAAAGTCACAGTGGCAAAGGTGGCACACCGTGGAGTAACTCTACAAAGTACAGAAGTGCAGCAGCAGTTGAAACAAGGAGATAGTAGTAGCTTGAAGAAAACCACCGACCAGGAGGACAGCAACAACCCTAAAACCTAAACCTTAAACCTTGCGGATGAAATAGGAGAAGAAGGGGCTGCTTGGGATGATTTTACATGAGCTCTCGTCTAAACTCCTAGTATTTCGCTTGAGGACTCATATAGTAGGTGTAGAGTTAGGGTTTAGGGTTTAGGGTCTCAACTCCTAGTATCCCGCTTCATCACCCCTATAATAATTCCCTATATAATCCCCTACATCGCCTTCTTTGAGGAGTTTAGACATATATAGCTTACATGCAATGAGCTGAAACCACCAGCTGAGCATTGCGAAGGATCACATCTGTGACTTGAGAGATAATAAATATAACCTACTTGGAGGGTTTTGGTGACTTTGTGAGTGGGTCTATACTGGGGATAACTGGGGTTCTTATATGGCTTATAGGGGTTATTAACCTACTTACCAAGTCTCCATGACCCTCCAAGTAGGGATCCAACTACCCCAAACTCATATACTTCCCCAAAACCGGTACTTTTAATACCAAAATTCCAAGCAATCAATCATTAGGTACATGGACCGTTAAGGATACACGTGGTCCAGGACTGCAGAGGCTAAACGCATAGGTCGGAAATTGTATCGTGTCACAGCTCATCCAGGTCCAGCGTAGCCCTCTCTTGTTTGGCAGTCCCTGACTCCTCCGTTGATCTCCCTCCCTCGAGCTCCAGGTCTGCAAGCAACATCCAGTTTGGACCAAAGTCTAGACATGGTAGCAGCATTGGGTCCACAGTCTATGAATGCTACCTGCATGGGGCAGAAAGTCCGTAAACAGTAGCTATGTGGAGCCCCTGGGCTTGAGTAGAACAAGCTACAAAGGAGACGAGAGGAAGGGATGAAGGTTGCTGAGCTTGCACATAGGGTCGGGGGCTTCCCGTGCTAGGGGTCCCCTTTATGTGCCCTCAATTCCAGCGGAAAAAAAGGAACCCTATTTTTGTTAACACTCCACTGCTCTCACTTTCTGAAACAATTGCCAGGCATAGTTCCTTGCAGGTCCCCTGTGCACGCGGACACATATGACGTAAGCAGTGTTTCTAAGGTTCAAAAAGCATCCCTAATTGTTGCAAACCTTCCCCATATTTCTTCAAAAATCATGCAACGGGGCCTGTTGTCCCTCCTTGACGGCGATGGCCGCAGTCTCCTTGCCTGAGACGCACTGCTGCTCATGATCTAGGAGCTGAAACAAATCCCGGATAATGGAGAAGCAAGTACCAACAAAAAACCTAATATGAAATGGCAACTGAAATTATATCAGGGCTCTAAATCGGTAATGGGACGAATTGAAGTGGCCTGTATGATTACCAATATCGATTTGACGTCTGTTTGGGGCTCCTTCAACTACAATTATACCACGGCAAGGCTGCTCATATTCGCAGTTCTGGGT